GGTTAAAGCATTTGGCTCCTGACCAAAAAGTCAGTGGTTTGAACCCACCAGCTGTTGGACAGGAGGAAGATGAGGCAGTCTGTTTCCATAAAGATTTACAGCCTTGGAAACCCAATGGGAGTCACTGTGAGTTGGAATCAACTTGATGACAGTGAGTTTGGTTTGGTTTTTGGTAATGCCTATCAAAAAGTACAAGCATATTCTTTTACTTAGTAATTCCGTTTATAGGAATTTATCTATTATAGGATATGCTCTCGTAAGCACAAAGATGGGTGAGCAAGGATGTTTTTGCAGCAATGTTTGCAATGACAAAATAAAACTCATGCTCCCCAGAGAATGACAACAAAACAAAATGGAACACTCTAAACGCTCATCGGCAGGGACTAGTTAAACAAAGGATGGTATATTCACATAATTCAACATCAGGGCATTGTTCAAAAGAATGAGAGAGATCTACATATTGACGTGGAAAGATGTTAACTACAGATGTATTTTTAAAGGCAAGTTTTTATGGTAATGTTTTAGGTAGACAGGAATAGAAAATTTCTAGAAGAACTCATAAAAAAACATCTCTAGTAGTGATTACCTGTGGAGGGTGGCACTAAGGATTAGGCATAAGTGTTAACTTTTACCTTTTATTTTAAACCTTCAGTTCTCTTTTATTTTTTTCTCTTTACTCTAATCAACTGTTCCTTTTATTATAGAAAAAAAAAATTAACTTTAAAAAAGGGACAAATACCTGAACTAAAATCATACCATCTATTTTATATTTATTTATGATTACAGATGTCTTTATTTTGGCCACAACTGTTACTGGCTGCTTAACCAGGCAAGGTAGCCAGAACTCATCTTTTTTAGTTTTGAGAAGTAAATGTAAGACCATGCCCACCATTTTCTACTATAAAAATGAATTGTCCTAAAATCACTCCACCTCCTATACACCCTGTAAAAAAAAGTCCCAGGACCATGACTACTGTCCCAAACCTGGAAATAGGTGAATTTGTATCTCCTAGAAAGGTACGACTTCTGGTTATTGAATAGCTTTGAAAGGTCACCATGAGAGCAGAACTAAAAGATATGACTCCTAAATATTTCTGTGTTTCTGCATATTTTTTTGTTGTTGTTTGACCCACCATCTCCATGATGTTGTTCAAGTCACTTAATAGGGTTGTCATCAGTGCAAAACTATGTTTGGGAACAAAACCAAACTCACTGCCATCAAATCAGTTCTGACTCATAGCAACCCCACAGGGTTTCCAAGGCTGAAAATCTTTACGGAAGTAGATTACCTCATCTTCCTCCTGTGGAGCAGCTAGTGGGTTTGAACACTCATCTTCTGGTTAGCAGCCAAAGGTCTTACCTACTGCACCACGAGAGCTCCTTATGTATGTGTCAGTGGCCTATAATACTTACATGATATCCTCTGTACCTGGTTAAAAAAAAAAAAATCCTTGAACCTTGTACTATTTCCCACAGTTGACCTAAATTCCTAACAGTGTAATATGTCTTTCTTTTCTTCTTTCCCTAATACTTCAGTGAATGAACTCAGTCTTGCATTATCCTGAATTTTTGTACTAATGGGTAAAGAAGGAATATACTTAAAATTTGGGAAAGTGAAATAGGTCAGGTGACTCGTATAATTTGTACACATATATATGGTAGGACAGGAACTCTAACCCTGGTCATTTGACTCTTACTTGTTTTTTTCTTTCCATCACACCATCATTTCATCTCAGGAGCCAAGTGGGTTCCATCAAAGAGACTCCTATTCTCCTGGCTAACTCTGTTACTTGGAGAGCTTCACAGAAGTTCTGGAATGCTCTATGGAGCTCAGGCTGGCCTTGTAAGTTTCCTGATACTTTGATAGGAAAGCATTTAGACATTATAGTTGCATACGGACTTACAAGGTTATTATTTAGTTTATTTGCAGAAATTATTAGCTAATACTCATTTTGGGAGCTCTGGTAGCATAGTGCCTAAGGCACTTGACGCTAGCCAGAAGGCTGGCGGTTCAAACCCACCAGCCACTCCTCAGAAGGAAGGATGGGCAATCTACCCTCGTCGTGATACTGCCTCTGAAACCCAAGGAGGGGTTGCTTTGAGTCAGGGCGACTTGACGGCACATAACAACAACAACAACACCCATTTTGTTAGTCAAGTCTAAAGATCTGAGCCAGATTCCGTCTCTGAAAAAGAAGAAAATCATCATCCCTGAAGGGTGCATTAGCTCCTGAAGAACAGATTTATAGCCCTGATTAATAGTCCCTGCCATTACCATTTCCGGCAGATGACACCCGCTGGCTGGAAGAGGGCTGTGGTGTGGCTGAGCAATCTTGGCAGGACCTGGCACTCCCTCTAGCCTCGACCCCCATGTCTGCAGAATGAGGCCAGTGATGGCTACTTCTCAGGGCTGCTGGGGATTCACATGAGGAGCTGGAGGTTAAAAGCCTTCTGTGAACACATCCTTCCACACACGCAAAGGAGTAAAACAGTTAAAGGAGTGTTATTATAGCATAGTGACTAGGAGCTCAGGACCTGGAGTTGGACTTCCTGGTTGGAAGAGACAAATTTCTCCTTCCAGAAAGGTTGGTTTTAGAAGGAGCTAGTCTACAGGAGCATTTCTGATTCCAGCCGGGCTAGATCTACAGCCCTCAGTGAACCTCTGTGGCTTTGTTGTCTCATGGTTGATTTCAAAGTGGTGATGATAGGAGTAAGCTCAGCTCGGCTGCCTGCTTTATCCAGTGCTTTGCAAGTCTAAACATACTTGAGATCCCAACAGTCAACTGAACTCAATGCAGGGAGTCAAAGTGCAGCACAGGGGAGGGAGTCTTCCTTATGGGCCCTAAATTCTATTAGAAGACCTTTCAAGACACACTTACATTTATCCACATAAGAAAATAAAATAAAACCTTTGCTAAATGGTGCTCATGTAAAATTTGGTTTCAATAGTGAGTGACAGAATTCTGATGTAGGAAAAGCGATTTCTGAATATAAGAAGGCAGTATTGTACTGCTAACTTGGGCTTAGACAGCCCAAAGGTTCCCATCTGAGTGGTGGCACGTACTGAGCCCCTGGGCAAGTTCCTTCACTTCTCTGAGCCTGTTTCCTCACTTGCAATTTGAGGGTGAGAGGCCCTGCCTTGATTGTAGCAATGAGATGGTGCATTTAAAAAAATTAGCTAAGTTCTCAAATATTACTGATATCATTGCTAGACAAAGGTGACTGAGTAACATTGTGTAAATGATTATAAAAGCTGGTTGTGCCTAAAATTAAATTTGGAATATGGAGAGAAAAGAGATGGTTTGATATTACTTTGTTGTGTGCTTTGTAAGTGTTGTGTACAGATTAGAACTATAGGTTAAGGTTCTTAAGTGGCTCTGTAGTCCAGTGAGGCACTATTTGGTGAATCTTTGGCACAGAAGACGGACCATTCATTATATAGCATTTGAGATCAAAAGAACAATTGAGTATGTAATGTTACTGTGAGAGCCTCACTGAACAGTTAGCCTACCATTTCAGCATTATCACCATCTCCCCTCCTCAAGACCCCTTTCCTTACCATTCCTGCACACAGTGAACTCTTCCGAGAACCCATAAAGCTCACCAACCCCACTGCCCTTTGAAAACGCACTGAGGCAGTTACCTAACTTGTCCTGCGGCTCTGCAGCCCCCAGGGCTCTCCTCCAATGGTGCTGGAGCTCACGTGTGACCAAGTGAGCATTCTCACGGATGACTCTCCTACTATTCAACGGAAAGTGCTGGCACATCGAATGATGTTTTGGCATTTGCTGTGTTCAGCGAGGAGCCCCGGTGGTGTGACAGTTAAGGGCTCAGCTGCTAACAGAAAGGCTGGCAGATAGGACCCCCTCAGCTGTTCCATGGGAGAAAGACCCACTTCCGTGGAGATGACAGCCTAGTGCCGATGGGGCACTTCTCTTCTGTCACATGGGGTCGTTACAAGTTGACAGCAACTCCCTGGTATCTAATAACAACCCATGTTTCAACACTAGAGGTAAATGGACTGGGATGGGAAATAAGTATCTCAACTCATGCTCCCCAGAGAATGACAAGTTCCAACATTGAAAGTTAATACGAGGAATGAATGGCAAAAATCTTAATAGACATGACAGGCAATTTCAAATAGTGACCACTTGAAGTGGAAATGAGAAATGCAGACAAAGGTACTTTGCCTGGGCCCGGCTGAGGAATGGCTGAGGAAAATAAACTAATGTCTGAGGCAATAGGTGGAACTGTCTTATTCTTCCATGTCAAATACTGAGACTGTCTGTCAGTTTGGTAGAGATTTGCTATGTGCTTCTGCTTCTGCAAGGAGCCCTGGTGGCACAGTGGTTAAGCACTTGACTGCTAACCAAAAAGTCAGCAGTTCAATCTGACCAGCCATTCTGTGGGGAAAAGATGGCATTCTGCTTCTGTAAAGATTACAACCTTGGAAACCCTATGGGGCATTTCTACTCTCTGTGTCCTACAGGATCACTGAGTTGGATCACTCAACAGCAACATGCAGAGTGACAATGATAATTAACATTTGAGAGCTTACTGTTTCCTGTACCTATTTCTTCTGGTGCCGTAGTGCCTAAGGCATTTGACTGCTAACCAGAAGGCTGGAGGTTCAAAGCCACCAGCCACTCCTGTTGGGCATTCTACTTCCATAGTAGTACTGCCTCAGAAACCCAAGGAGAAGTCGTTATGAGTCAGATCCGACTTGACGGCAATGCATTTGGTTCTTTGGTTTTATTTGTTCTAAATCAGTAAAGTGGTCTTGAACATAGATATAGTTATAGTATGGTAGAGGTGAGGATGAAGACTTTGTCTTGTTAGAGAATAAGACACCAGGGGTGGGAAACCAGTGTCTCACCCAGCACTCCTTCTAGAAAGGAAAGTGAGAAACGAAAGGCAAAAATTATCATGCGCTTCCTTGTCGTCACAGGCTTCCTTTGCACATCCTCTGGATTAGCTCTGATGGCTTCCTCTGTTCACAGGCATCAGAAGTTGAGAAGCAGCTCTCCATGCAAGTCCATGCTCTCAGAGAAGACTTCCGGGAGAAGAACTCTTCAACCAACCAGCACATCATCCGACTTGAGAGTCTGCAGGCTGAGGTGAATGTCCCCTGTGGCAGTGTTTGGGATGAAAGTGATTTTCTCGTTGGAGGTGATGTAGTGGGTCTTTTGGATAAGGGGGGCCCTCTGAACAGGGAAACAAAAGCCTGCTTTATAGAAGAGTGACTAAAATCTCTACCGACAGATCTGGGAGAAGCTCAATAGGGAACACATGATCCACGTTCCTCTGGATGGCCCGTTGTCTGGAACACTAAAGTTGCTGAGGGATTGCTAACCGTTACTGCTGAGCGTGTTGAAATTGTGAATGACCTACCTTTACTCGAATGGGTTGACCCTCCAAATCCTTGCCGACTAAACAGAAAATGGGAAAGGGACCTTCCTCTCTCCATTCCATCTGGTCCCAGTGCAGCCCACCTTAACGTGGGGTTGCCATGAGTCAAAATCAACTCAGTAGCAATGGCTTTCATCTGAAAAATGAGGGTAATGCAAGTACCTTCCTCATAGGGTCGCTGTGAGGACTTGATGAGTTAATACGTGGAAAGCATGTTTGGTGCCTCTGAGAGGCCAGAACATGGCAGCCAGGGGCTGAGGCACTGACTGAGCAGAGCGAATGGAGGAGAAAGTAGCACCCAGGGAAGAGTACAGTGAGAATCCAGTTGTGCGAGGAGAGGAGAGAGGAAGGGTCATAACACCTGAGGAGACTTCCATCTAATCTACACCTCAGAAGCCCTCAGCTAAGCATCTCAACAGCAGCCCTCGAGCCAAGTAGAACTGTGAAGGGCACTCTAGTCCTGCCTGACGAGTGCCCGCCACTGTGCTAGGACCAGGCCCCAGAAAAGCCAGACTGCTGCTCCCCCTGCTTTGTAAATCACCTGAAGATGTTTTTCCTAAAATCTGTCAATATCTTCTCTTTTCTCCTGCCTCCCGTCCCTTCCCTTCCTCCCTTCCCTTGGAATTCCTGCTGGTATTGAGCAGCAGGTCCTTGAAGTAAGTAGAGTTTGCTCCAGTGGGATTTGGCATGCGTGTCTGTGACCATGTGTGTGCATGATTTAGTTGTGCAACTGCCTCTGCCAAGGTCTGACTCCTTCCAGTTGCCTGTCTTCCTCTCCCCCCACTCACTTCTCGTAGACCCTCCTGGCATGGGGGCATTCCTGGGAAAGCTTACTGCCAGAACTGGTCATAAGTTTCAGGGAGCGTAGGGTGAGGTGAGGGAGTGGGCAGCCGAGTGCCAATTCCTTGCTTGATCCCAGTATCACTGCTGCTTTTAAAAGCAAGCTGTGAAATTGATTGTTTCAAATAAGTTACTTCACGTAGCTCTGAGCTTGTCAGCTTTTTGAAGGGGCTGGAGTTGTCCATTAGACTCATACTACCTCATTACTTCACTGAGTGAGACTTGGGAAACAAATATTATCCAGGGGAAGAAAAATGTAAAGGTCAGACGGTATTTAAATGCAGATCAACTAGAGTAAGAATTCCCTTCATGTAAGTAACTTCGCGTCACTGCAGGGAATAGTGGGCCCATTCACAAAAGGCACTTGCTCCTTTGGGTCCTGTACCAGGCGCACACTTGAGAGACAGTATTTCTTTGTCTGGCCAGATACCTGATCTCTCTGGACAAAAGGCACATACTTGGTTTCCCCAGGACAGCGTCCTATCTGATGGATTGGAGGCCGGGGAAGATCTGTCCCTATGAACACAATTCTAATGCACAGTGAGAACAGCCAAAACGCAGAAAACGGTGCATGGGGTTCAGAGAGCCTGGGGCAAGTGAGCTATTCATTTCCAAGTCTCCCTAGAAAAGTTCTGAGGTTGAACCTCAGAACTGAACCAAGTCAAGGCCTGAAGGAACTGTAATCTAGGCTAGACTGGGCAGCCACCACAGCATCTCAACCACGTCAGAACATTTATGGCCAGAAGCTGGTTGAGAAATCATTCCAGCAGGGAAATGATGAATGAATGGGAGGAGCCAGGGACCTGCAGGACTCGAGACGTCCCCAAGTACCAGTAGGAGCCAGGGAGTTGAAACCCTCTCCAGAAAGCAGCCACAGACTCGGGAAGGCTCTCTGTAGCCCCTGAGCAGGCAGGGTACTTTCCGCAAAGCCTTGGAGGAAACTAGCCAAGCACCTTACCCTGCAAACCTTGAAAGCCAAAGAAGACTTGGCATCTCTTTCCTTTTTCCATCTGTTTTCTCACTGATACTAGACAGACCTTCCTAAAAGGAGATGTGTCTATCTTGACTCTGGCTAGGTCCTCGGTGTACCATCCTGTTTCATAAAAGGAGAGAATTTGCTTCTAGTCACAAATGACTTGCTCAAGCAACAGACCCTTTAAGTGAAATCAGGTATTCATTGTGTCCCTGTCCCGTTCCTTCCCAGGTCACAGGGTGATACAGGCATTGCTTTGTTGTCTGCACCCTGCTAGCTCCTGGCTGAATAGAGCCAGAGGGCCAGCAGTAGGAAAGGGCAGAGGGGAGCCCTAGAGTATAAAACCCAACAGCTACAGCAGGTTTCTTGGGCATTTCCTTGTGCTCATGCCTGGAGGAGGAGGAGGAGTAAGCAGGTTAGGTTCCACTCCCCGCCACGCACGCACACACGCGCACACACACACACACACAGTGGTGGACTTGGTGTAAAGCTGAGGGCAGGCAAGGTGTGGCCCTTCTGTTTATCTCTGGAATTTCCAGAGCCCTAACCTTCCCTTCCTCTGCCTGGCATCTGACATTGCCGCTTCCCGAAAGCTAACCCCCACCCCTTCCCAGACAGGTTTCTAGAGGGGAGGAGTTTTCTCTTCAATGTAGAGTTATGCTGCCGCTGCCACCGTTTTCTCTGAGATGGCACACATGCCTTCGGGTTCGGGGCTCGTGCCTCCCACCCTGCTCGTCAGCCCAGGTGTAACTCCACACCACCTGTGTGACTCTGCCCTTTCAGATCAAGATGCTGTCGGATCGGAAACGAGAGCTGGAGCACCGTCTCAGCACCACCTTGGAGGAGAATGACCTGCTGCAGGGGACCGTGGAGGAGCTACAGGACCGGGTGCTGATCCTGGAGAGGCAGAGCCATGACAAAGACCTACAGGTACGGACCGGGACGGGCGAGGCCAGCTAAGGGAGTCCAGCTGCTCAGCCAGAGCTGAAAGGCTGCCAGGCCAGCGCCACCCCCGGGCTCGGGAGTGGCTGACGCTGAGGTCCCTGTGGCCCTGCCATAATTCCCTGCGGGCACTCACGCCTCTAGCCCTTCTGGCTCAGCCAGGGACAAGTGCATCTCTACCCACAGGTCATCCCTCCAATTTGTTCTGAGCCACTGGCCTCTGGAGCAGTTTCAGAGTTCTCTCTGGGCCATTAGCGAGGCTGGGACGTCGGGATTGTCATCCCAGCCCCCTTGCGTTTGTCAATCTGCCAGAGGCTCTCAGAGGGAGCCAGCAGCTGTCTGTGCTCGGCTCAGAATGCTCTCTGCTGCTGGTCTCCCAGGCGGGTGGATTTCGTCGATAGGCACAAAGCAGAACCAAGAAACTGCCCACTGAACACAGCAGGACCCATATCCTTCTGGCAGTCACCCGGAAAGGCACAGTCTACCCCCTTTGTCAGCCTAATTAGCCTCTTTTTTCTTCCTGAAGGAAATTTCTTTTATGACCATATTTGTCCTTTTTTGAGAGCTGCCATCAAGCCCCCACTGTGTCCCCAAGCTCACATTTAATAAGAAACAGTCCCCAAAACAAAAAAAGATTAAAACCCCTCTCCACCTCCCCAGGCACAGCGCATAATATCTGCAACCAAGAACACTTTGCGGGGCCAGCCTTGGGGCATCTGAGGCCAGTGGCCAGCAGTGCCCCACCTCCCTCTAGACCTGCTCTAAGAGTGTGGGGAGGGGACCAGATTTAACAGCATCATAAATGGCGGAGGTGGTAGTACGGTGTACCAGGTGGGCCCTCCCCAAAGACCGGGCCACAGAAGGCTCCCACTGAGCTCAAACATAGGCTGTTGAGGAAAGCCTGGGGGTGGGATAAGGAGACAGCATCTCACGCTAAGAGCCCTTTTCACTGGCACCATCAGCTGAGCTGCTATCTGAGGGATCTACCTCTTTGAGGGCATACGATCAGCTTCCCCCATCCCTATGCTTTTTGTAACTTCAGCTTAGAACTTCTCATACGATGATGTTCTTGTCAGGAGCCATCGAGTTGGCTCCAACTCATAGCGACCCTATGTACAACAAACAGATGGAACACTGCCAGGGCCTGCACCAGCCCATATAATACAATGTTGTTGTTGTTGTTATTTGCCATCGAGTCGGCCCCGACTCATAGCGACCCCTCCTTGGGTTTCTGAGGCAGTATCACTACGGAAGTAGGAATGCCCAGAATAGGCCCTTGGAAAATCTCAAACAGAAAATGGTGCTGACTGAAGCCTCACTGCCGTCTTCAAGATGGGGAGAGGGTCTCTGTGCTTGTTCAGTATTTTTCTTATTGTGGTAAAATACATATAACAGTTGCCATTTCAACTTTTACTTGCACAGTTCAGTGACGTTAGTGTGCTTGAATAATTGAACTCATCTTGTGCATCCATCACCCTTAAGAGAACCTCAGGCCCCTTAAGCAAGAATTCCCACCCCCGCCTGCCTCTGGTAACTAACTACTAATAAACCTTGATCTCTGCATTTGCCTCGTCTGGATATTTTACATAAGTGGAATCACAGTTTCCCATTTGTGATGCTTTTCCTTCTGTTCACGTGGACTTCTCCTTAAGCCACCAATTATTACCAGTGTCCCCCAGAAAGCCCTTTCTGTTGTTGAAACGGCCTGTACTGAGACAGAAATACAAATTCCAGCTCATTCAAGTAAGAGTTCTACCAAACCTGCTGCTGATTCTGACTTGGGGTGACCTCATGTGTGGAGTAGAACTGCCCTCCATGAGGTTTTCAGGGACGTGACCTTTCAGAAGGACATCCACAGAACTTCCTTCTGGGCGCCCCTAGGTGGGTCCAAACCACCGGCCTTCTGGTGAACAGTTGGCATGTAACTATCTGCACCACCCAGGGACTCCTCGACTAACAACTGCATGGCCCTGAATCAGATTTGTAAAATGTTCTCTTAGAACGGAGAGAGTCCCATGGTTTTAAACCATTTTCCTCAGACAAGAGGTGAGTGACGGCTGAGCAGGCAAGGCACTAGGCTTGCCTCCCCTGCCACAACCCGAGTCATTCCCTCTTCAGCTGTTTCATTGTGTCATTTGGAGATCTGCATAAAACTTAGTTTGAGAAAAGAGTTCTGCTGTCAAAAACAGATTTTTTAAAGCACTAAAAGAATTCAACTCTGAATTGTTTTCACTCTGAGAATAGGGATAAAATTATTATTTACTGAGCACACAGTGTATATTAAGCATTTTGCTAAGCACATTATCTAGTGAAGGAAACACACTTTGTCCCCGCAAGGCCATGTAACAGTGCCCTAGTCCATGCCCAGCTGGGCATCTTACAGGCATGTACAGGGCCATCCCTGATTAGTGGGCAGATTTCATCAGCCAAGAGCACAGGCCCTATTCAACATGGGGCAACCTAGGAAGCACATAACCTAGAGCCCCAACCTAGCCCTTACTTCCCTTAAATGTAGAATGAGGAGAGTACCCCCACTTCTGCCAACTTTAGGGGCAGGAGTATGATGAGTTCTTAAGCTTAACATGCTACTCAGAGACAGGGTATTTGGTATCATCCTTGTTCATATGTCTAAACACATTTAGTGTCATCTTTGTGACATAAAGGATGATATTTCTTATTTTAGGGGTTCTTTTACTTAGTAGACTCTCCTCTGGTTTGGTTGTCTACGTATGTCTGTCCCGTTGGTAAGTCAGTTACTGACCAGAGAGTACAGGCCTGGCCTACTCTTTTCTTCTCTTGCTGTTATAATTAATTAAGCACCTTCGAGTGTGCATGAGTAATTGAACTAATTTTGTCCACTGCATAAGACCTTGAACTTGTCTGAGCTGAACTCTCCTGCTGAGATATATGCGGAGATGGCTAGAAAATCATCGTAAAGCATTTTGCCAGTCTCATACACCATTTGTAATTGTGCCAAATGCTTCCTAGGAATGTCTGTTTTTGTGTTTTCAAACCCTGGTTTCTGCTTTGTGAATTTCCTCAGAACTCAGGCTGGAGGCATTCCCACTGGATCAGCAGGTATTGCTGATCTCAGGAGCCACGCAGAGCAGGCTTGCCAGGGCCTTCTTTGCTGTCTGAGCAGCCAGGCCCCAAGCCCTTGCTAGTCAGGGCTAATCGAGCCCACAGGGCCATTAGTCAGTGGTGTCCTGGCAGCGCCTGGCAAAGGCAAGGCCTTCAGGGCACCTAAAGGATCGGCTAAAGGCCCTGCCAGCCAGCTTGTTCCATTTAAGGTGACTGCAGAGCTCTGAGGAACTGCCAGCTGCCCTATAGTCTCCGCATCTCTGCAGGTGCCCCAAAACCCACTTAACTCAGATCTGGAAAAGATCAATGCAGTGTTGTTCATGGAACAAGGGTGGCCCCAGAAATATCACTGTATAAAAGGTAAATTGGCCAACTTTAAATCTCAGGAAGTCCCCCAATCCGCTTTTCTAGTATTTGTTAAAGGAGGGGCAGTCCATAAAGACGAGATTGGGAAGTGGTGCTCACATGCAGGTACAGCATATGGTCATAGCACAGCGATTGACAGACTGACTGGGATTCCTGCAGTTAGGCCAGTGCATGAAGAGCAGGTGTAGTGGTGGATGCACAAATAGCCTGGCACCCAGCAGCCGTGCCGAGTCCTCCCCTTGTATTGAGCAGTGATGATGGTCTCACCAGACAGAGCTTCCCTACCCTGTTGCCAGTGCCAAACTAAAGGGGTCACAGAGACTGCAGAGAGGATGAAGCAGAGGCAGCAAGGGGGGAGCAGACTTGCTGCAGGTCGCGATCCCTGCGGTGCTGTGTCCTCTCCACCCCTGGCATCACCTCCTCCTCCTCTCTGGGCCTCAGTTTGATCATGAAGAACCTGAAACAGGTGGACTAGTTTATCTCTGTGGCCCTCCCAGCTCTGGAATGTTCATTATTAGAAAATTCCTGAGATCATCCAAAAATCAAGAGACCCAAAAGACTTGAGAACAGAGACTCAGACAGAGCCTTGTACACCAGTGTTCACTGCAGCACTATTCACAATAGCCAAAGGGTGGCAACCACCTAAATATCCATCAACAGATGAACATGTGGTACCTACAGTCAGTGGACTACTTCTCAGCCAGTAGGACAAACGAAGTGTTGATACATGCTACCATACGGATGGAGCTTGAAGACATTATGCTGCTGAGATAAGTCAATCACAAAAAGACAAATATTATATGACCTCACTTACACAGAAAGATAAGGAAAGGCCAATGTATAAAGACCAAAGTGGTTACCAGGTGTGGGAGGAGGAGAAAAGGGGGGTTAACAGTGATGGAGAGATCACACTGATTAAGGGTGGAGTTGCACAGCCAGCTGTTGTCATTGCTGTCAATAGGTGCACATCTGTGAAAAGGTGAATTGGCAGAAATTGTGTGATAGATACATTTCCAACAATAACAACAAACAGACAGTAGCTGCTGAGGCTCCTCATGTACAACCAAACACCTCATGGGATTTGGTTCCTTGGTTGGAGGTTTGGGGTCATGGTTTCATGGGACATTCCAGTTAATTGGCCTAATAACGTGTTCTGTTCTGCCTCCTAGTTTATTGCATAATGCCTGGGGTCTTAAAAACTTGCAAATGGCCATCCTAAGCAATTTGGTCTCTATTTACCTGGAGGAACAGAGGAAAAAGGAATGTCAGGAATAGGAGAAGGATATGGAATGTGTGGCTAATTGTCTCCATGAACAGCGTCCTCCTTTGCCAGGAGACCAGAACTGGATGGGAGAAGGGGAAATGCAGAAAAGAATTCCAAATTCTCATGGAATCCAGACTTTATGGAGGCATGGAGGCAGATGAATCCCTGAAACTAATGCCATGAGATCTTTGAACCTTAAACCAAAATACCCCCTGAAGTCTTCTTACGCAAACAGTAGTTTCATTTACCTAGTAAAGAATGTCTACCTTGACCATTTGCTCTTTTAAGAACCATCTCTGTGGAATCAAATTGACAACAGAAACTCAAAAGATTAGATAGGAACCGTAGGAGGCAGTGAGTTCATGTTAATGAGGGAGGAACAGCTCAGAAAAGGAGGGCGAGAATGGTTGCACAAGATTGTACATATAGAAACTGTGCACTGGTGTAAGTTTTGCTGTGTATATTCTCAACAACAAAATAAAATTGAAAGAAAAAAAATCAAAGTCTGTGGAGAAAGTGTCGGGTGTATAGTACATATAATATTCAACTTGCAGGATGAAGCTGTTTGAATAGGAATGTCTCTATGTAATTAGCTCTTCCCAGACTTCAGAAAGGACTGAGAAAGAACAATAGCTTGATGTGCAGGATGCAGGACTTGGGGTAGACAAGGCGGAAACGTGAGAGTTAAAACTGACAGCGTGGCACTTCCCCTTCAGAGATTGTTAGATTTAGGTGAAGCTAACTCTGTCTGTGGCAAAGTGTGTGGACAAGTAGAAAGAGCACTGGGCCAAGAGTTATGAGTCCAGCTCTACTTCACAGTGGTTTGAGCAGAGTCACTTTCTCCCTACCTGTCCCTCAACTGCCTGATGCAGGAGGTGAAGGAGAGTGACCAGGTGACTCCCAGCCTGGGCCTTATCTTTATACTGTGAGGTATGACACAGAAAGTAGGCAGAGACTGCTCTCCCCCTGGGTTCGGAAACTCTTGGTGTTGCCCCTCAGGTGTTGTTCCACACCCTAGCCCCAGCTCCTTTCTCAGCTGCCCTTTCACCCCTTGATTTTTCATTAAAACATGACTTACAGTAAAGCACACAAACCTGAAGCGGACAGCCCAGTGCGTTTTCACACACACATGCTCCAGAGTAACCACCACTCAGATCACGATGCAGAACACTGCCCACACCCCAGACGCTGGTGCTCTCCGTCAGCACCTGGCCACTCACTCAAGGGCAGCTTCGCTCCACCTTTCATCTCTCCTGTCTCAGTGGAGCGTGAGAACTCCATGTACGCGCAGTCTCGCGTGTACTGTTTTATGTCTGGCTTTTGGTAAATGTTTTGCCTGTGAGATTCATCCCATGTTGTGGCATATAGTGGCAGTGTGGTCTTCTTCATAGCTGTATAGTATATCAGCATATGAATAAAATAAACCCAAACCCACTGCCATTGAGTCAATTCCAACTCATAGCAACTCTCATTGGGTTTCCAAGGAGGTAGATCTTTATAGAAGTAGACTGTCCCATCTTCCTTCTGCAGAGCGGCCAGTGGGTTTGAACCACCAACCTTCTGGTTAGCAGTCAAATGCCTTAGGTACTGTGCCACACCATACAGTTTATCCATTCAACTTGGATAAACTATTTTATCCATTTCATTTGGATCATTTCCCCATGAGGCTATTGTGAATAATGCTGTTATGAACATCCTGTTTATGCTTTTGTGCACACCTGCAGTCATTTTTGTTAGGTCTGCACTTCAGAGGAGCAGCCCTGGTAGCACAGTGGTTAAAGTACTCAGGTGCTAACAGAAAGCTTGGTGTTTAGAACCCACCACCTGCTCCAGGGGAGGGAGATGGGGCAGTCTGCTTCTGTCAAGATTGCAAACCAAACCAAACTCATTGACATCAGGTCAATTCCAACTCCTAGTGACCCCTCCCTGGGTTTCCAAGGCAGTAAATCTTTATGGAAGTACAGTGCCCAGTCTTCCTTCTGAGGAGTGGCTGGTAGGTTTGAACCTCCAGCCTTCTGGTTAGCAATCAAATGTCTTAGGGACTGTGCCACCCACCATAGCCCCTTTCTGTCAAGATTCAGCGTTGGAAAGCAAATGGAGCAGTTCTGCTGTGTCCTGTAGGGTCACCGTGAGTCAGAAGCTACTTGACAGCAAGGGGCTTGAGCTTGCTTTTACACCTCGGAGTGGAAACGATGGCTCACAGGCTCGGTGTATATTTAACTTTATCAGATGCTGCCAAACACTCTTCCAAAACACTGCACTTTACATACCCACTAGCATTGAGTACCCTAGTATTTCTACATCTTCACCAATACTTGATATTATTAGTATTTATTTGCATTCTGGTGAGAATCTAATGGTACGTCATGATGTATCTGCATGTATGTGCTTAATTTTTATTATAAAGAGTTTCAAACAAACTAAAAAATACTGTAATGAAACCTAAATACTCCACTGCCCAGGTCTAGGAACCAGCGAGCCATGGCTAGTCCTGCCCACCTGCGTCACAGCCACTCCCCCTCTCCTGTGTCATTCTGAAATACTCCCACAGTTTTCATCAGTTCATCTGTAAATAAAGAGATGATGACTTCAGAAGTATTACTGGGATATTATGATACCTGCAAGATTAACAGTACTTCCTCAATATCATCAAATACCCAGTGTTCTAATTTTCAGTTGTCATCTGTCATAAATTTTTCAAACATTTTGTTTGAATCACTATACAAGTTAAAATAGGCCCACACATTGCAGTGGGTTGATATGTCTTTTAATTCTTTTAATCAGTAGCAAGTTCCTCCTCTTTTTCTCCCTTGAAATTTATTTGTGAAGAAACCGAGTTGCTTGTGCTGTAGCATTGCCTACAACCTGCACTTTGCTCGTTCCTCTTTCCTTTGTGTTCTTCTGTAAACTGGTGGTTGGGTCTAGAACCATGACCGGTTCAGGGCAGCTCTGAGTGTTTGTGTCTCACACCTGACTGCCATTTCCATGATCTGTTGAAAGCTGCATCAAAGCCAGCTGGAGCTCCAGGAGGTCCGGCTCTCCTACCGGCAGCTGCAGGTGAAGGTGGAGGAACTCACTGAGGAGAGGAGTCTACAGAGCTCCACCGCCACCAGCGCATCCCTCCTGTCGGAGATCGAGCAGAGCATGGAGGCCGAGGAGCTGGAGCAGGAGAGGGAGCAGGTGCCCACCCGTCACTCCCCGGGCGAGATGGCCTGGGCATTCCCAGCAGAGCCCAGCAGCCCTCCCTATCAGTATGCCTGTACTTCAGCCGCCAGCCTGGGGAGGGCCTGTGGCCTACACCTAGGCAAGCCCTAGGCTGGCTGGCTGGAGCGGTCATGAAGCAGCCCTTACAAACCGTGTTCCTTGCCCTCCCATTTTCACACCCCTGTCCACTGAGGCCTTAAAAACAGAATTGCCAGAGGACAGCCACAGGCCACTTCCTGTCACCCTAGTGCCTCTTAGGAAATGCTTGTTGACTAATGATCAGCCTCATGCTTCTTGTACTGATCAAGTTCTACAACATCCATGATCTTTCCTCTCCATCCAGTTGGCTTCTTTACATGTTACCCGTAACCCCTTATTCCCCAGATAATTTTGATTCCCATGAAAGTAACTATGCTTACATAAAGAGGTGGTTTATATGGCAAGTGGGAGGGGCCGGAAAGCAGGGAAGGGAAGAATTGGGCATCTGGACAGACATATGGGACCCAAAACAAGTCTTAGTGTTTCTTGAGACATGTGATTTAAAACAAAAGCAAAAACCACCTTTTTCCCAGAACTTGTGTTTTGGGTTCAGATACTCAGAAAAGATGACCAGGTGGCAGCCCTCTGCAGACTCCAGTTGAGCCATTTCTTTCTGTCACAGCTGAGACTGCAGCTCTGGGAAGCCTACTGCCAGGTCCGCTATCTCTGCTCACACCTCCGAGGGAATGACAGTGCCGATTCCGCCGTCTCCACGGACTCCTCGATGGACGAGTCCTCAGAAACCTCGTCTGCCAAAGACGTGCCCGCTGGGAGCCTGCGCACTGCCCTCAACGAGCTTAAGAGACTGGTCCAGAGCATCGTGGACGGCATGGAGCCCACGGTGAGAGGCCAGTCGAGGAGTTGTTAACACCACAGGGCCTGGGGGTAGGGCTGGGGTGAGGCTAACCCTGGACTTGAAGCCTATAGAGTGCCTGCAGGGATTTCTCCTGACAGCCTACTTGCTTGAGGGCTTGACCCTGGGGGCCCAGGAAGGGAAGGCTCCAGAATCTCTCCAGAGGCCACTGGGACGCACAACTGGAGTCTTTTTCTTCTCAGTTTTGTACAAGCAATGGTGGCCTCAAGGCCAAGAGATTTCCTTGGAAGCTTTGACTCTGGGAACTTGTATCCAGGTTAAAAACTGCAGGTTACTATTCATAGCCCAGGAGCTCTGGTAGCGTAGTGCCTAAGGCACTTGACTGCTAACCAGAAGGCTGGCGGTTCAAACCCACCAGCCACTCCTCGGAAGGAAGATGGGGCAATCTACTTCTGTAGCGATACTGCCTCGGAAACCCAAGGAGGGGTCACTATGAGTCGGGTCCGACTCGATGGCACATAACAACAACATTCATAGTCCATTGTTCCTTGTGAGGGAGGGGGGTTGGCCATGAACAGGCAAACTTGAAAGATAAGAAGCTTTAGTCAAAAGAATATGAGTTACAGAACATTGAGCTCAACTGCCAGGGCCTTTGAGAAGTCCAGATGGGCCCCTCCTGAGGGGAGAGGGCGCTTCAAGTGAGCATCCTGGGCAGAGCCCCTCCTGCAGCTGCACAGGTTTCTGCCCTATCCGCTCCTTCCACACTCCTAGCCCTCAGGCTGGGGCATCTCTTCAGGTTTCATCTTCCTAGAGAATAGCTGAGTCTCTCTACCCATACGAGGTGAAGTAAAACAAAAGGATGTTGTTCTTACCTGAGCATGCTGTGTTGATCTGGGCATGTGTTGCCAGGGTCCACAGAGGCCAGTCTTAATGGGAAAAGAGCATGGTCAGAGTGGGCGTGTCTCATTCCAAACAGACAGTCATTCCCTTTCGCAAGCCCTGAAATAAGAATAATCATCTAAAACAGCAAGAAAACGCAAAGTGTCTGCTGCTGTTCGCAAACTGGAGTGAGAAGAGCTTTCTCCCCTAACCTTCTCTCTTCCCTGCTTTGTCTCTCCCCCACTCCCCCTCCACCATATCCCGTTCTCTTTCTCCTCCCCGCATCTCTGCACTCCACTCCCTGTCCATGGTCCATGTCCGTCCCTACCCTCACCATCTCTCCCTGCCTGTCACCTCCCCACTGGTCCTCTCCACCCTCATCGTCTCTCTGGCTGTCAGAGCTCCCGGAGAATTGACGATGACTCCTTAGAAGAACAGATAAGGCAGACCAGTGAGGACTCAAGAGCCCTAAGGGAACTCATGGAGGGAGAGAGGGGTAAACTGAGGCAAAGCCTAGAAGAGCTGCAGCAACTCCACAGTCAGGTGAGCACCCCATCTATGGTCCAGGGCAGGGAATGTGCACACAGCTGTGGATCTCCTGGGGCCCTGGTGAGTCTTCCTCTCCCACTTGAACTTGAGAAGTGGCTTTCCTCTGGCAGCCCTCAGGGGACTGTGACCTGAGGTCAAGGTGAACTGGGTACTTCAACAGACTAAATCCATCCTCTGGTTTGGCACAAGGTAAAACTGATGGGGATACAAATAGCTGGAGCTCACCTCCTCCAGTGACACAAACCAGAGTCAGTGGATGCTGAGGGTTTAAAGAACTACAGTTCCCAGAACACTTAGACATGTTCCTTCCAGCAGGACAGTTTGCACAGGAAAGAACAGGTGGTCTTTGCCGGACTGCTCCCTCTTTATAAATGCCAGCCCTCTGCTGGCCTGATTCGGGTTTTAGAAGAACCCACTGCTGCTCTCGTGTTCCTTCCCTGTTTGCTCACATCACATCTCTTGAGAACCCTGGAGGACGATGTCCATTCTCTGATCTGAAAAGACGTAAAGGGCTCAGGAGCAGCCCCACCCAGAAAGGAGCTTCTAGAATCAATTCTAGGAGATAAACCTTCCTTTTGAGGAGGGCCACGTGTAGCCCCCTACTCCCGTGGAGACGTCACACAAGTGGACTTTTAAACCCTGCCCCCCCCCGGCCTGCCCCTTCCTTTTCCATGTCCCAAGTTGTTTGTCACTTCCTGCTTCATGAGATTTCTGAGATATGAGACTTAAGCTAGGCTTTTGTTTCCGTCGAGGAGCTCTAGTGGCTTAGTGGATAAGGCGTCTGGCTGCTAACCAGGTTAGTGGTTCAAACCCACCAGCCGCTACAGAAGGAAGATGGGATAATCTACTTCTGTAAAGATTTACAGCCTTGGAAAACCAATGGGGGGTCACTATTAGTTGGGCTTGACTCCATGGCGGCGAGTTTTAGGGTTTTGTTTTTTTTTTAAATTCAGTCAGTGTTCCTTAAAAGACTTTTCTAGACATAAATTCCTGTCTTTTTCTGGATTATACCCAGAAGTCTCCCTAATATTATCCTCTTGGAAATAGGGGAAAACCCACCCACAGCCATGACTGGACCTCCTCTGTCAGGGAGCAGGTATCAAGGCCACACAGATGCTGTTTACAGCTGTGGCTGCTCCCAGCAAGGCCCTGAGAGTGGACTGGAGCAGCCAGGGTGTCTCGATCCCGGAACCTCAGACTCCAGGTGGTAGTCGGCCAGGGTGTGGACCCAGGGCCAGATCCCCCAAATGAGAAGAATGAAACTCAAGAGGCTGGATTTGCACGTCCTTAGATTCATAAAAACATTCCTCATTTTAAAGCCTGCTGGCGTTTCTGAGGGGCACTGCTGTTCCAGCTCTCTGATGCTGGCTGCTGTTTCTCATTTAGTTTTTCTCAGGATCATCAAACCTCAGAGCTCACCAGAGGACAGTGTTTCATTCAGAAACACAAGGAAAGTGTAGGTGGCTGAGAGGCTGGGGGAGGACTGTTGAAGAAGTCACCCCACCAGAGAAGCGCCCTTGAGAAGGCAGCTGGTAACTGGGGGCGGCAGGGCCCTGGGGCTCCCCTTCCAAGCAGTTAGCAGGTAGACTCAGGAACTGCAGAGGACAGAGCTGGGCTCCCCCCGCAGCTCATCTCTCCCCAGAGCCTCACAGGCAAAATGGGCGAAGGCCAACAGCACCGTCACCCCGAGAGGGGTGGGGTGCACACTGAGTTGTGGACTGACGTGCAGCCGCAGCCCTGACAGAGTGGGGCGTTGGAGTTGATTCCGTGGGTCAGCGTCGACTGCGCACCTCCTGTGCCGACCGGCACCAGGGGACGGACGCACAGGCTGAGCACGGCAGGCCCCGCACCCTGGGAACCCTCGGGCGGGAGAGGAGCCAGACCATCTTTGACCCCCGTGGCGGGGGAGGGGGCAGCAGGACCCAGATGAGGTGAGATGGAACTAGTGTTCCCTATAGGCCTTGGGGGAGGGGGCTGAGGCGAACCTCAAGCCAGAGTCCAGCCACTGAGCCCGAGGCCCTCCTGCCTCAATGGGCGCTTTTCTCTCCTGGAAACTAGGCCGGAAGTGGAAGGTGTGCGGCCTGGGACGGGACAAAACTAGCAGCACCAGCCCCCTCAGAAGCCTGATGGATTTTTCAAAAAGAGAACTGGGGTTCAATTTAACTGTAATGAGCTGGCTAAGGCAAAATCCACAGCCAGACCCGAAAGCTGTCCCAGCGCCGTCTCATGCCGAGTTAATGCCCAAGTCCCCAGCTCTGTGCCCTGTGTGGAGCCCCACACCCTCCTTGTCGGTGTCAGGGGGCTCCTCTCCCTCTACTCCCCACAGCTCTCCAGACTCCCATTCACCTTACTGGTGGGGGCTGACGGCTGAGTTTGTCTGCTGGGTCATTAGTCGGTAGCAGTATGGAAGCCACTTACCTGTGAAGTCCTTCAGCCTGTTCTCAGGCCAGTGAACGTGGCTGTATAGGGCTCAGTGAGAAAAAGCCCCAGTTCTGGTATTTGAATCCTTTATGCTTGACTAGCGTGCACACCGTTGTGTTGTGAAAGGAAGTGGAAGGCACAGGAGAAGCGATGCTGGGGACAGTCATGCCTTCACTAGTACCACCTTGACAGCGCCTCCTCTGTCCGAGCTCAGCTCCCTCCCCTCTGTTCTCCCAACCACTGCCCCAGTTCAGACCTGCTTTCTTCACACCGGGCTTTGGTAATCACTTCCCAACTCACCTGCCCTTCCACCAGCCCCCTCCCGGTGATTTGGCTTACTCCTCCTGAACCATGATTTGAGAGAAGAATGCTCTTCCAGTCAGTTCTGGGCTGGATCATGGGAAGCCCCTGGCCTCCGTGGCCACTCCAGTCTGGCTGCATTCTCGCCAGCCAGCCTTCTCTCGTCGCCCACCTCACCCCTTGGCGTTAGCCGCGTAAACAAAGGCTGTCTGCCGGGATGGCACACCTGCCCGTGCTTTCCACACCTGGGCCTTGCCTCTGGCTCCTCTCTGCCCAGGAGACCCTACCCTCCCAGCGGCTCAGCTCCACGCCACCACCCTGCAAGCTCCCCATGAGGTGCCACTTCCTCCTTGAAGGCCACGAGTTCCAGTCCTCCTGGCGCATCCAGCTCGCGTTGCCCTAGTTAAACCCTAATTCCATTTCATCTTCCCAATTAAGCCCTAGATGCCCTGAGGACAAGTTCAGACCCTCTGTGTTTTTGCCTCTTAACGCAGCAAGCACAGGGCCTTGCCTGGAGCGGGCGTTCAAGTAATTGTTGAAGGAGAAAAAGGATGTTTTCTTTGATGCTATTTAACTGTGGGGACAACCACCTTATTTGGGAAAAGTCGGTTTGGGGTGGAAGTAGACGCAAGCAAGGTATAGACAAGCCAGACTAGTCCTCAGAAAGCAGGTTGCTGGAACGTGGCGGGAGGCGTGGAGCTGACTGCGCCCTGCCCGGCACTGGGCACCGCTTCTCCCGTTGAGCATCACAACAACCTGAGGAAGGGCAATAGTTATTTTTATTCCTACTTTTATGGAAGGGTTAAAAGAGATTAAACCCCTTGTCACTTCTAAGGCAGATGGCTGGTAAGCTACACCTTCAGCAAACCAAAAAACCAAACTCACTGCCATAGAGTCAGTTCCAACTCACAGTGACTCCCACTCCAAGGCTGTAAACCTTTATGGAAGGAGATTGTCATCTTTCTTTTGCAGAATGTCTGGTGGGTCCGAGCCACCAACCTTTTGATTAGCAGCTAAATGCCTTCACCACTGTACCACCAGAGCTCCTATACCATCACCACGCCATAGTAAAAAGTTCCGCAGTTTTATCTGGAGTACGTTAAATGTTGGCATTTCCTGCCGAGCATGTAGTCTCACCTGTTCCTTTCTCAACTGGCAGAACACCTGGCTGGCCTCCGGTTGCCCTGAGCCCACGTCAGGACTCGTTGGGTCTGAGGTGGGCTGGCTGTCTCCACCAGGTGCTTTCTGGGTCTTGGTGTGTTCTGGTCTCCTGGGAAGCGAACCTGCAGTGGGCGACTGAGGCAGTCTTTCCTTCCTGCCTTGACTGCCTCAGGGCTGGATGCATTCACAGTGCTCTTGCTAGCTAACCTCAGTTGTGACCTCAGCTTCCTTACCGACCCACCCCCACCTGTGCTTTCCCCACCACACCACAGTGCTGCTGCTTTGGGCCTTTCTCAGGAGGGAACCCAGGCCCTGGGCTTCCCAAACAGCCTCCTGAGAGGGCAGAATCCCCTGCCTCTGAACTGGAGAGGGCTACTCCCCCAGGGCCCGCAACTCTGTGTCGTTCAGGGAGCTTTTGCAGTATCTCGGGGAAGCCTGCACCTCAGCCTTAGTCCTGGGCCAGTACTGGGTTCCACTCTATGTAAAGATGGGTGGTTAGACCTGGGACTAAGAGCAGAGGAGTGGGCTGAAAGGCGGCAATGTGTCTGTGGGAGGCCGGCAGACCTGTGAGGATGGGCCCTCCCTGCTAGAAAAATGTCACTCTGTAATATTTAACAAGAGGGCAGGGTCAGACGCCCGGACTCATGTCTGAACCTACCGACTGTGAGAAGGGGCTGCCAGTCTGGCAGTCATTCAGCGGCTCCGTGCCCTCTCCCAGGCAGGGTTTGTGACTGCGGGCAGAAGCGTGCTCTGCTTAAGCCGGAAGAGACGGCAGTACAGTTCAGGAGCTCGCAGCACAGACAGGAAGGCCAGAGGGCCGGGCTCCGCAGAGCGGGAGCCACAGCAGGTGGGGCAAGGGAAACGGTGTGCTGCCCCTGAGTGACCTCCCTGTGGCCTGTGCCTCTGCTTTACGCCCTTGGGAGAGGACTGGCAAGGCTGGGTCTCATGCCCGCGCCCAGGCTGCCCAGGAAAATGTCCACCCTCCTTTGGCTTCCCCTATGGAAGGCCTGGTCTTGTCTCATAAAACCAGGACTGCCTCCGAACAGGAAGGGGTTTGGGATGATGAGCAGCCAGTAAGCGACAGCGGTCCACTGCACAGGTGTTGGGGTTAAGTGCTGCGGGCAGTCAGATTGCACAGATGGAGCCATCGCGGCCCCTGTGGCCACAGCTCACCATGCGAGGGCGTTACTGTACAGTGGGAAGGGGTGGGCCTGGCCACTGAAGGAGCTACTGGGAGGGGCACCTGGCTGCCAAAGGATGACTCCAGGTCGGCACGAGGACCTGAGGTGGCTGTGGCACCACTCACCAGAGCACAGACCACAAAAAAGGCAACATCACTAGGTGTCAAGTCCATGTGGCTTTGAGCTGGGGAGGAGACTGAGGAAGGAAAGAGAGTCGGCTGTGCTGTCCGATGGCTGAGTGATGGGAGCCAGGGGCATGTGGACCATGGTGATTGCAGCTTGCCATGTTGAGTAGGAGGTGGCTGGAAACAAAACTGGAGTTCTAGCCCAAAGGGTGTGTTTCAGAGGCCTGTGGCATCTGTGGCCATCCTTCAGTCACCTGGGTATGTCTTGAAACGAAGGAGATGTGTCGTGTGCTGAGGGCAAAGGGGATCTGGCCTGGTAGCTACAGGTCCAGGACTGTATTCCCTGTTGTCCCCTTGCCACTGTGCTCGGGCCTGGCATGGGGCATCCATTCTTCAGGAGAGACTTCCTGAAGCTCAGAGACCTCAGCCATAGGGAGCTGCATGCCCGTGCCCCACACAGACACCCCATGTCTGCTCGGGGTTGCTCCTTCCTTTTCCCAGCAGCAGGGACAGCATCACATTCATTCTCCTTGGGCTCCCGTCAGGTGACACTGCTGAGTGTGGAGATGACTGCACTGAAGGAGGAGAGAGACCGCCTCAGAGTGACATCTGAGGACAAGGAGCCAAAGGAACAGCTTCAGAAGGCCATCAGGGACCGGGACGAGGCTATTGCAAAGTGAGTAGGATCACGTGTTTGATTTTACTTCTGATTTACATGAGGAGCATGTGATTAGAAGCTCAGCTGAAAAAATTAAATCATGTAGAAGACAAAGGGCAAACATTTAGAGGCAGCTTGCCACTCCGTGACCCCTCGTCCCACTCTCCCCAGACGGACACCACTGTTCCCAGTTGAGTGTGCACGCTCTGCAGACCCTGTCGTGTGCTTATGCACGAGGGTGCGCGCTGTTGCTGCTGTTGGGTGCCGTGGAGTCGATTTTGGCTCAGAGAGACCCCACGTGCGCAGCAGAACTGCCCCGGGGTCACCTTGGCTGTGGCCTTTACAGGAGCTGATCGCCCGGTCTGTCCTCTGCAGTGCCACTGGCTGGGTGCAAACCGACCATCTTTCAGTTACCCGAGCACTTGACCATTCGTACCAGAGTTCATGATATGCAATACAGTTGTTGTTTTTTTTTAATCAATGAGAGAATAATGTATATGCTTTGCTTTTTTTCACTTCATATACTTTAGAGAGCTTTCCAACTTCATTTTATTTCTATGTATCAATATATTTATATTATATAAAATATTGTTGTTGTTGTTATGTGCCGTTGAGTAGGACCTGACTCATAGCGACCCCTCCTTGGGTTTCCGAGGCAGTATCACTATGGAAGTAGATTGCCCCATCTTCTTTCTAAGGAGTGGCTTGTGGGTTTGAACCGCCAGCCTTCTGGTTAGCAGTCAAGTGCCTTAGGCACTACGCCACCAGAGCTCCTTATATAAAATACAGTGATGTGTAATTAGCAGGTACTTCACTGGCTGTGTGACACAAGGGGTGGGAGGAAAGGGGAGCACATCCGGAAGAAGAACCGCGTGGTATGGTGCGCTACAGCTGGGTAATAAAATGAAGGCACTAACCCTGGAGTTCACTGGGAATAAAAAGCAGAGTGAAGGAAAGTGCAGGCTGGTTGGTCCCTTCTGTCATCTGGGAAAGCAGAAGAGAGTCAAGATTTGAGGCAGCCATACTGGCAGCAGGACTCCCAAATCATGTCCCAGACTTTCCTCTGAAGCCTCAGAGAAGGGTTGACAGCTGAGGAAAAGAACCAGGCACCCTTTGCCTGCTGGGGGGGGACTGGTGTTGAGCTTGTGCTGGAGCTCCATGGAGACATGGAGACACGTCTGCTAGGCTGAGCTGAGGCCAGCAAACAGATTCTTTTCAATACCCAAGCCTTGGGGCTGCAGGTTAAGATCTGAACATACTCTGGCATCGGCACGGGAGGTGGGAGATGCAACCAGAGAGCCGGTTGAGGCGCGAGAGAGAAGGCATACGTTGTCTAGCTCCCTTTCCTCAGAGAAGTGGAACCCACCTCAGCCACCAGTCACAGAGGAGGCCACGACATCTCTGTGAAGCCTCGTCATGCGTTCCCTCGACGCCAGCAGAGGTGGCTGCTGAGGTTTATAAATTCCCCTCTCTGGAACTACGCCCCCTGTAGGGAGAGGTCAGGAGTGAGGGCCCTGCCCTTCCTGGACCCCAGAAGCATTGGGCTGGCCCTGTGGGGAGAGGCCTGGGGAGTCCTATCATTCCAGTCTCTGCTCCTTACAGATGAACGTCGTGTACAGAACTTGAGACAACAGACTTGAGCAGTGGTCGAGAAGGGAACCACAGGGCTTTATAACAGTTTTGTAAGATACTTTCATAGCCCTCATCTCTGGTTCTTGTACAGATTAGTAAATAAGCACAAGTAAGCCCATGTTTACCTTGCTTGTTGGGTAATCCGACCCTGTCATGGTTGCACATTAAAATCACCAGGGGCCTTCCCATCCACCCACACCCTGTGTGTCTAATGGGCAGCCATGGGTGGGACCCTCAAGAAAAATGGCTCCCTCCTCCTCACTGGGCTGTAGAACCCAGTGCCTCTTAACCTGTCACAATAGATGACTCCAGAGAAGTCACTCCCCCTTGCAGGTGAAGGGCTCTCACTAAAAGACTAGGAATCTGACCTACAAAAACCAACACGCGCCAATTAACTCGTGGGATTCTGCTAGTCCTCTGAAAGACTGATTCTTTACAAACGTGATTGGTACACTGATCACCCTGCGCAGCTTTGCTTTCCCCGCCTGGGGTTTATGAGGAAAGGCAGGCTCGAAGATTCCTTACTGAGCAAATGGTCCCGAGTGTGCAGTCCGAGGCCGGGTACGGAGGTGGCCAAGGAGGGCTTCCGGGAAGGAAGGGGGCCCCCCAAGGCAGGGCCTCGCCCCTGGGTCCTTTCGGGCCCCCTCCCTCGTGGAACGTTAGTCAGCACATTTCCGGGACGGCAGCCTGCGCGTTGAGCCACCTGCCGGGAGACGCCTGGAAGTGCTCAGGGTTGCAGCCGCCGTGAGGCGCCAGAGAGTTTTGTTCTGACGTTCAGTGGCCGCGGGGGCGTCCGGGATGGGCGTCCATGGCAACCGGCTCCGGGCTGTGATTTCCGCTGTTGGCCGCCAGCCAATAGCAGCGGGCGTGACGGAGGCGGCCTGCGGCACCTGGGACTCCAACGCTCATTGGAGAAGTTGGGTCCTATGAGCGCAGCCCGCATCCGCAGTGCGGGCGGGGCTGACAAGGGCGCTGGGCGCTAGCTGGAGCGCCTGCTGTGACCAGGCAGGAGGGTGGCTATCAGGGTAGGTGACTAATTGCTTGGTGGACATGAGGCCAAAAAGGAAGTGCTAGTCACGGTGGTGGCCTGAGTGCTTGGTAGACGTGAGCCACCTGCCGCTCCTTCCGGCCAGGCTTTTGTTGGTGCAGTTGGTCTTCTCGCGGTCTGTGCAGACCGGTCCTCTGGCTGTGCTTGTCCGTGCAGGGGCGAGAGGGTACTTGGGTCGCGGGCCTTGTGCATCGAGGACACGTGTTAGCTTTCAGACACACGAGCAAGCAGCAGATGAAGGCATGGGCTAATTAAACGCTTCGTCCGCCAGGCCACCCCCCACCCCGCCCCAAAATTTATTTAGCATTGAACAGCTATGAGTTAGGAATGTTGGGGAGACGAAGGGAGTAGTGCGCGTAACATACACACGACGTGAAAATACACAATGCAGACGTGTGCGCAAGCAGTTCCCGGGCTGGGTCTCGTCTCGTGCTTCGCTCCGCTCAACTGTGCGTCCCGAGCGCCTCCTCGTTGTCAGTGAATCTTCCATGTTCTCGTTCTCAGGGGTGAGGGCATTCCCTCTCATGAGTTATTGAACCAGTTCCCTAATTGTCAGATAGGATGATCGGCTAAGCTGTGAGGGTCACAGGGGTGTGGCTTCCCTTGCACACACCTGTGTCTGTAACGGGGGAATTACTGGTCGAAAGGAGCCCCTGCCCGCAGCAGGAGGACACGCCCCGTCCAGTGGGGACTCGCCTGTTTGTTTTGGGGAAGGATAGTAGCTCCTTTGTGCTGTGGCGCTTTGGTGGTGTGCTTGTTGAGGCCCTTGGCGGCTCACCAGAGTGTTGGTGATTGGCACCCACCAGCCACTCTGCAGAAGGAAGATGGCGCGGTCTCCTTCTGTGAAGATGCTGAGCCTTAGAAACCCAGCAGGGGTCACTGTGACTCAGAATCAACCTGAGGGTAGTGAGTTCGGTTTGGTTTTTGTGCTGTGGGAGGCCTTTGATCTCCTCTGGGTTCCAGTCCTGACTAAAGTATCTTTCTCTTTTAACCACCTTGAACCTCGGTCTTTTCAGCTGTCAGACGGGCTGACAAGCCCTTCGTCTGCAGGTTAGTTATAAAACTTGAGGGGACATATGCGAGAGCGTGTTGCAGACTTTCCAGTAACCTCCCACTTACTCCTTCAGTTACTGTTGCTTTGTCAGTGGTTTGGGACACAGCCTGTCCCCCACCTGTGGGCTCCAGAGGCCCCTGGGCCGGGATCTCCACGGGTGCCCGCTTTGTCTGTCTGCAGGAAGAATGCTGTGGAGCTGGAACTCGCCAAGTGCAGGATGGACATGATGGCTCTCAACAGCCAGCTGCTGGACGCCATTCAGCAGAAACTGAGCCTCTCGCAGCAGCTGGAGGCCTGGCAGGTAAACGGCAGGCCTCAGCCCAGGGCAGAGAGGACGAGGCCCGGGGGGGGTCTCCGAGTCTCAGGCGGGGTCAAGAGAGGTTGCTCCTGGAGGACCTCCTCCAGCTGGCGGGAGCTCATGCTCCCCAGCGTCCCAGGAAGAAGGTCACACTGCTCTCGGGAGCGGCAAGCCCGACTCCTCAAGCGGGACCGCCTGCCCCTGCTGGTCTCCCCGGCCCTGTCTGAGTGACATAGGAAAA